TGTACAGTTATTTCAAACACCAACCTTTTGCTATATTTTTTCCTGTAAGCCTGTGGTTGATACAGAGTGCAAAATGGAACGTTGCGTTTTGATTTTTTTTCTTTGATTTAAACTATCGATTTTCTTTTTGGTATATTAGGTTAATGCTTGCAGTAGATTGCTTCAAAATTTTATGAATCTTGTACGTATTTTATGAATTTTGTGAATTTCGTATGTATGAATTTTGTATGTACATATATATGAATTAGGAAGTGCACCGAGTATTGCCCATTAGAACCAGCCTTCTGTCGACAAACAGATTTTCGTTCCTGATAAAAAAAAAACAGCAAAAACGAAAACACAAACTGATTCTTCTTACTAATTTTGAGCTCTATAGCTTTTTTAACATACGTTACATTTCTAAATTTTTTTTTTGATTTTTCGCTTAAGATTTTTTTCTGACAAGTTTTGTGCCTTTAGCTAAATTTTGCATTTTAAAGCTGTTAATTTTTACTTCTTTAATTCCACTTTTTGACTTTTTCTTCCAGGATGCAAAGGGACCATTTGCTCTTCTCTCTCCTCTGTCTCTGGTTGCATCACCATCTAGTAGTAATTCGTTTATAGCGAGTGTGCCCACTGTGTACAAATAGGTCTTTTTACGATAAGTTACAGGGGATAAAAAGTAAATAAAGTGTTTGTATTTCCTTATCACTTACCTAAGATGACCGCATAAGCAGCCGCCTTTCCCATCGTGTAACAAGCCCTTCGGACAATTCATTAGTTTGTTTCAGAGATAATTTCTTACCGCCCAACTCAAAATTATGACGTCTGAAGCTGTCTTCTGCTTCTCAAGCAGATTTCGGGAAGGATACCATCCTAACAACGACTAATTTTGACAAAGTATTTATAACCACACGAACAGCGTGCAAAAGCTTTGGTGTTTGCCTGTTAATTTCAAAAAGCTCAGTTTCTTGTATCACTGAACTACTTTCAGCTTCTTGATTTTATTATGTTTGTACAAATTTCTGTCTGTATGCGAATGAATTGTGACACAAGTGTTTGTTGAAACACTTCAGTTGGATGAAGTAAATGAAGAAAGTTTTGTGCAAATCCTTTGAACCACATCAACAACAGCCTTGTCAAGGTACTGTAGCCGCCTGTTTTGAACAAACTGAGGTGCAGCTGATTTTCGTCTTTGAAAAAAGAATGACAAAAAGTTTAAATTCTTGAATTGCGGAGTGGAAGATTAAAATTTGGAGGAATGGAAGATTGAAATTTAAAGATTTTCTTCCGGTGAGCAATGCTAGGTTGGAGAACTGGACGTAGCCACAAGCGAGTAAATTTCGATTAGATGGAGGCAGCTCTTCGAACGGCGATGCGTATCGTGCGTCTTTTTTTATGAGACGTTGCATAAATTGTTGAAGTATTTATGAACGCAAAACGAGCACTGAGATGAGCACGGTGATATGCGTAATGAATTCTTTTGAATAAACCGGAATGCAACTGAAAAATTCTAGTAACTGACGTAACTACAGGCGTGAATAACGTAGTAGACTCTCACTGGCACGGTTTTGCATCTAAAAAACTCTTTGGCACGATTTTATCTGAACGCCGTAATGTATAGTCGCAGAGTAGGGCAGTCCTTCACTGGGGAAGGGATCGTTGGTAGCGCTCATGTCAAACAGTCGTTGGCCGAAGTCCACGGTCTAGCGTCCAATGATAGATGGTGACGTAGCGACCGTTTTTGTCGCTTTTTGAAAAGCCGAGCCCAACCAGCGGGTTATTCGTGGACAATTATTGTCAAGGAAGGTTTTGAAATGGAGCGTTTAACGCTGTGTTTGCGTAGACCTGGTACTTCAAAGAGGGGAAGACGAAGCCCATGCAAATTTTCATGCTTTCTAGTACCCCGATTAGGGGATATGAAGATGTTTGGTACTCCATCTATACATCTAGGCAACTTTCCTTTCAACTTCCACAACTGCTTTGATCAATGCTGCAACGATTTATGACAGCTCGCTGTCGATTTTGACGTTTGTTCCTCTCCCTAGAGGATTGCCAGTTCAGTTATTCTCCCGCAGAAGTATTTGGCAAAGTTTTAACCGTTCCGGGATGTCCCTGACATGTGTTGAGTATCGCCACACGGTTCCGAACGTCATACTTCTATTTTATCGGCCAGGACAGAAATGTCCTGGTCGATAAAATAGAAGAAGTAAGACGTTATGCTTTTTGGGGTACTCCATCTCCACAGATTTGGTATACACAAGAGCTAACTGATGTGGCTGATCAAGAATTTTTCAAAATTGCTAAAATTGCTTGTAAAAAACAACAGCACTTGTACTTCATGCCATCACTAAAAACAGCACGCTGGGTAAGTTCGCGTCTCAAATATCATTTCGTAACATGGGCTCTCTTGTGGTAAATTCAAGAACCTTTATGGGCCGAAAGGACCGCAGTAGGGGGTTAGGTTCCATAAGATACGTTTAAAAAAGTAACATGAAGAAAAAGTTTTCCAGGCTAACACCTGAAAAGCTTTTTCTTCATGTTACTTTTAAAATCATTTGTGCAAAAACCACACGTTATACTTCACTTTATACTACTGTCGGAAGCAGTGCGCCTTCTGTAGATTTATTACAGATTTGAGGAGATCTTAAAATTATTTTTCGTTTGCACAATCAGTTTCCGGATATGTATGCATGT